TAAACCATGGGGTAAATAGTAGAACTGCCACGGGAGCAAAGCCACGTCACGTCAGTTCTGGGGCACAAGGCCCTGTGCCTCCGCAGCAGCTGCAGCAGGGAGATGATGCCACTGCTACGCCCCTAAGCCAGGTTGCCCAGCTCATGACTTTCAGGGGTCTTGCGTTTTGGTGGCTCCCAGGGGTATCATTGCACACTAGAATATCCAGGCTTAGCCTTGCACCCACAATATTTAGAAAACAATATCTTCCTTAAGGGAACTGTCATCACAACCACTGCGTACCCCATAAACACCACCCCTTACAGTAGTATTTCACAGCAAAAATGATATCTCCAGAGCCTGATACGTCGATATTTCTAGCAGTGGTAGCCAGCCTGCCAGGGCCGTAGAAGGTCATGGAGTGAATGTGATGAATTGTCCAAAGACATCACTTTTGCTTGAACATTTTGGGGAAATTGAGACACAATTTTATATTAACACAAATGAGGAGTAGACAAATACAATATAAATTTTTTAAAGAATCAGTTATTTCACAGAATTTTCACCCTGTAAACGATCATCCAGGATCACTGTCTTCTCTTGTGCACACACCCCTCGCCCCTTCTCCCTGGGTGGAAACACTCAAGAAGTAGCCCCCAGCGCAGTGCTGTCGGCACTACACGCTGGAGTCACCAGCCCAGGGCCATCTTAGAAACATGATGCAATCTCAGAGAAGGAAATAGAGTGGACGAGGCAATATTAAGAACTACCAGTGTCAGCTTTGCCTTTGCATCATCTGGTCCAGCCCCGCTGTCCAGCCCCAGCCAGCTGTGTTTTTTTTGTTGTTGTTTGTTTGTTTTTTTTTGAGACAGAGTCTCACTGTGTTGCCCGGGCTAGAGTGCCATGGCGTCATCCTAGCTCACAGCAACCTCCAACTCCTGGGCTCAAGCAATCCTTCTGCCTCAGCCTCCCACAGCTATGTTTTCACAGCAGATACGTTAGGGTGCCAGCTTTCCATCTTGATTGGGTGAGGGTGCCGGTGGAGATCTGGAAATCCACCTGCCACACAGGATATCAGTTTTGTTGTGCCGAGTTACCTGAGCCAAAATCTGAGTCTTGGAGCAAGATAAAGGCAGTGTGTTTTGTCTGCTCCTGTACTAGAAATCAGTTTTACGTAGTATATTAATTACTGTGATGCTGGGAAGCATTTATTCAGTGCTCAGCGTGTGCTAGACAAGGTGAGTATCGAGCATGTTATACGCTTTATCTCATTTCATCTCTCACAGAGGTCGAGGATTAAACAGCCTCAGCTGTGCACCAGGGGTTGGAGAGCAGGCTCTCGACTGTTTCTCACCCTAGTCCACGAGGCCCAGCAGACGGCAGAGCCCTGTGTCCCCATCTGCAGGCCAGATGGGCACCACACCAAAAGAAACTCTTTAAACCCAACACTATGTGTTCAGCACCTCTTGTTCAGCAAGGAGGACCAGACCAGACCACTAGCTGCTCCCCTGAGCCCTCCCTGTCAGTGCTGAGGGAAAGGCTGGCTGGTGTCCATCATAGTGGCTCTGAAGCTCAGAACCTTTCCAGAGACCTCTGAGATGCGCTGTCCTAATTGGAGAACTCAGGACACACTATGACAGAAAACCCAATGCTGTGGATTCTTCTAGCTCCTCTTTGATGGTGTCATCCAAACAGCCAAAGGTCCTTTCCTGCCTTAAATCTTAGAGATTTTTGACTATAGACATAAATGAGAGAAGAAAACTGCCAGTCAATTACACGTTTCTGATGTTGATGCCATTTGAGAGCTCTGGCTTGAGGGATTTTCTTCTCACTGAGTTTGCTGATGAGCTTGTTTTGATCCTCTGTGCATTAAGTTTGACTGTCTTCACTTAACCATACCTTTCAGAGTTTACCCTTAATTGTGAATTAAGGGGATGTTTCTATGAAAATGTTGTGTGCTTTCCAATGGCAATAGTTAATTGGTCTCCTGCTAAATGTTTACTAAATAACTTCATATCTTTTTATTTCCCATTTGATCTCTCCCTGGGAAACAGTAACAAGATTTTTATTCTTCCTGAAATACAGATGATAAAATCGAGGCTTAGAGACTGACTCTTTCAATATTTGATAGAATCAGCAACCCAATTCTTTGAACTCAGGATCATGTATCTTTCTACTATGCGTTATGGAGAGCTGTCTGGAATTCCCGATGCTTGAGTATTTTTGGCATAACATTGAACCGTAGTTTTATAAGGTTCCACCCGATATAAATGCAGCCTGATGCATTTGTAAGAAAGTGACCCCTGAAGCTAGACGGTGCGTGTTTGAATCATGGTTTTGAAACTTACTGGTTGCTCATCCTCTGTGTGCCTTAATTCCTATACTTTAAAATGAACATGCTACTAACGGTTTTCTACAAATAGAAGGATTAAGTGAGACAAAACATAAAAGTGCCTAGAACTGTGCCTGGCACAGGACTGGCACTCAGACCATGCCATCTCACTGTTATTGCAGATACTTAGCAAAAGCTTAAAACTATCTGAAATCCAGCCTTCCCAAATCCTCACACTTGTGTCTTGGCCTGAGATCTAGAAATTGCTGGAACATGATAACAGCAGTAACAGCCACAATAACGACTAACGACCTTTGAGAAACAGCAGTGCGGGTGGAGAAGCATTGCGTGGCAGAACAATCCCAGCACTTCTTGGTGTTTGGAACCTTACGTGTTTTCAGCTCCCTTAGCTGGGGAATGGAAATGGTTATTTCCTTAACCAGGGAAGAAGATGAGGCCGAGACATGTTAAGTAAATTTTCCACACATCTCAGGATGATGGAGGTGGATATTGACATAATTTCTCACTCAGGTATGGCCCCTTTGCACAGCCCCAAGCTGCCTTTCTAACACAGGCCGAGTACCCAGCAAGCCAAAGCCAAACCCAGACTTCATCCAGAAACCCAGGAAATCTGGAGGATCTTAGAGCAAGGAGAAGCCTAGTTGAGGAGGAAAGTGATGTGAGAGGTGGAGGTAGCCCTTAGGGGAGACCAGTGCTGCCACGTCCTGGGACAAATGCCCACCAGGAGGGCAGGCACACTGCTGGCTGGGATGGAGGATAGCCATGGGCTTGGGTCGAGGGAGCTGACTGTCACGTGATCAGTATGGGGAATTTGGGAGGTCAGTGGGATGGAGGAAGGCCGTGGGGAGCAGGGTCTGCACACAGAGGGCAGGCAGGGACAGATCCTTGTCTGCCACCATACAATGGAAGGCAAGTGACAAGGCCTGAAGGCAGAGGCTTCCCCAAGACCATGGAGGAGAAGAACAAAGTCAAGGGTTGACACTGAAGAAGCACCTAGGGAACTCCCATTCTGTGGGGTATTCCTGAGCTCCAGTGGGATGCTCGTGTCAGAAGTCTGGTGTGCGGTTGCCTGATGACGGTCCTCCCAGGAGCGATCATCAAGGATTGTTGGGTAGAGAATGCACTCAGGTATTTAAGAGCAAAATAATATAGATCCAGAATGTCAGCCAGTCAATGCTTGCCCAGCATTATATAATATTCTTCTGTAAAATTAAAAGGTGCTGAGAAGATTGCATGTCATGTATACTTGTAAGCCCTGTCCCAGAAGGTTCTAATCATGCTTGCATTTCTTTCTTACTTGTATTTCCCACGGACGGTTATGTCCAATCTAGCAGATGTGGGGTTGGGTGGGAGGTAGCTGTAACCTAGTTCCTTTATGAGAGGACCACGGGTCAGACGCTGTGGTCCCCCCACTACTTGAGGTGAGATTAGGCAGCTCCTATAGCCAAGAAAGTGGTCACTGGCAGCTGACAGCTGTCCCGAACTGTGATTTTGTCTGTATAGTTTTACAACTTGCAGTGTGTTATTGTGCACGTTGTGGGTGTCTAAAAACATGTTGGTATGTTTCCAGGTGGGTTCAGGTCTTCTCATTTCTTCTATTTTCTTTATAAGGTCCTGAGCAGTAAAGAAAAAAAAAAAAGACTCTCTGGATCTGAATAGGATCCAGGGCCTAGGGCAGGTGGAGACGTCTCTGCTGTGGACATCACACTGACCAGAGGAGCATCTTTCTTATAGGACAGGGCCCAGCAGAGCCGCTTCCTCTTGCACCACGGCAGAGGGAGGCACACTCACCCCACCTTGTAGTGATGGGGGCCCCTGTTCTGTGACACATCTCCTACTGGCAGGGCCCCCTGAGCGACTCGGTTCGCCCACCGCTCTGCCACGCAGGGACTCTGGAATCTTTCCTATCACTTTTCCCCTCCAGGGTCTGGGCATTCTTCTGACCCTGGCTTACTCCCCATCGTTGGTTTGTCCAGCTCCTTCCTGAAACCGGAGCAAGAATATTGAGACATCCTCAGAGTTCTGCCCTGAAAAGTGTTTACTGTTCGGCATCCACAGTCAAGAAGATGTTGCCAACTTTAATCTACTGATATTTCTATTTCCATTTCGAATGTGCAGATCTGAGACAGAGAGGGCATGAGGATTTGGTTTCCTCAATGTCAATACTCCTTGATAATTGGTTTTGCAAAATTAATGTTATAAAATTACTTTCCCTGAATGCGTGCTGCTTCAGGGAAGGCATTTTTTAGGATTATTTGACTCCAGGTTGGAGCATTAACTTGTTTCCCCCCAAAACTCTGCTGAGCTGTCTGCGAAAGGCTCTTCCCTACCCCTTGTAGAGGTTTCCTCCTCCTGTTCCTCCTGCCATCTCCTCCCACAGTCTGACAGCCCCTCGGTCTGCAGTGCCACCCTTTGTGCTGTAACTGTTTTCTTTTTATTTACATGTAAATATCAGTGCCATAGAGAATGTCTATAAAATGAGAGAGTTTACACTCAGCGAGTAAGTTGCAAATTTTGCATGTGAACCAAATTTGACTCTTTGGAGCCATTTTTTAGCGAAGGGATTCATATTCATTTCCACATTCATTTGTGCAATCTCCACTCTATGAGCAGGAAGCACTGGGGCGAAGCAGAAGTTGATCTGTTCTAATCTGTTTGTTCCCCTTAGGAGGGATGCTGGATACGATGTTCAACCACGCGTGGGCTGGGCGCTTCCACTTCTTGGGCAGCATCTTGGTCAATCTCTCTTCCTGTGTGGCCTTGGACCGTTTCCAGGCTGTGGAGTCTGTTGACATCCTGGAGACTAAAGCACAGGAGCTCATGCAGCAGAACAACTTCTTGGCCAGTACGTATGCAATGAAAAAATATGTTTACAAGGGGGCCAGCTCGAAAACATTGTCATTTTGCATATTTCTCCCTGAGGGTGTCTTATGATGGCTCAGAAAGAAAAGAAGTCCTTTCCAGATAAAACATAAAATAAAGCAGAAATATTTGCGTTGAATTAACAAAAAGATGTATATTTACTGTAATGCCTAATGGCATTTTCATCATCCTGAGACCAGCAGTACTCCTTACCTCTGGTCTTACTTCTTCATGATATCATGCTATGGTTAAATCCCACATGATAAATTATGCTTTTCCTAATTAAATTTATACTCTAATTTCATCCATCACCTTTATTTTTATCACAGTATCTTGATATCCTCATTGAGCGAGGAGAAAAGACAATGGTCTCTTCAACTCCATTATTAATTGTTCACCTATTCAAGATAAACATGATGTGTGCTCTCGTATTCTTTTTGAGTAAACATTTAATTATTTTTAATTGAGGCTTTTATCGGTTGGCTAGGGCTGCTGTAACAAACTGTCATGGACTTAAACAACAGAAATTAGTTGTCTCTCAGTTCTGGAAGCTAGAAATTCAAGATCAAGGCCTCCACGGTTTTTTGTCTGCAGACTGAGAGGGAAGGATCTTCTCCGGGCCTCTCTTGCTGGCTTGCAGATGGCTGTCCTCTCTGTGTGTGTTCACATCGTCTTCCTCCTATGTCGCTGTGTCCAAATTTCCCCTTTTCATAAGGACACCCTCATGTTGAATGAGGGTTCACCCTAATTGACTCTTTGTAATTTGATACCACTTTAAAGATACTGTCTCCAAATATGGTTGGTCACATTCTGAGATACTAGGCGCTAGAACTTCGACATATAAATTTGGCAGAGCTTGGGGGAGGGAGGCGACAATTCAGCCCATAATAAGCTTTATGCATGAAATTCAAAGAATGCATGTGGCAGGAAACAGAATCCTATGTTTAAATTATGAATGATCAGTAACCTCAAAGAGACGGACTCTGTACATTGAGTTCTATCTGCAACTCAAAAGAAGAAATGCTTGATTTGAACAGCCTCATGTATTTTTTAAAGTCCTACGAAAGATACCAAACGAATAATTTCTTTGTGTTGACAACACTGCTGCATGGTTTTATTGAATAAAAAGCAGCACTGGACCAGGAGTCAGGAGGTCTTCGTTCAAGCTCACCACCAATTGCCTGTGTGACTGACTTGCCACCCTGGGGCTTGGGTCGCGTATGCAGAAGTGGGGTCCTGCCGTCCTGCCAGCTTTCCACTCTGACCCAGTACAGACATGGTGTGAGCCACTCCCTAAGTTGTGATGATGCTTCATTTTTTCCTTTTCTGCCATTAGGTGTCATATTCAACAGTTCCTTATTAGGCAAGAACTTCAGATCACAGAGCCTCAAACTGCCACCCCATGTCACATACACAATTCGGACCAGTGTCTTATACAGCATGAGGACAGACGTGGTAAAAAACCCTTCTTGGAAGTTCCATCCTCAGAGTCTACCGGCCGATGGGTTCAAATATAACTACATCTTTGTCCCACTGCAAGACATGATCGAAAGAGCTATCATTTCGGTGCAGACCGGGCAGGAAGCTCCGGAACCCGCAGCGCAGACGCAGGCGATGCCCTACCCCTGCCACACCAGCGACCTGTGAGTAGCCTGGAGTCGGGGCCACACTGTCCTACACTGTCCACCTGCAGTGAGAAGGGCTTTGTGTTTGGAAAGATGAGTGGAGAAACCTCTTTGATTTCTTTCTGTAATCATTCCAAAGAGCATTTTTTAAAAAGTCCAATGCCCTTTTGAATTTCTTGAGGTTTATATGTTATGTGCTTGAGCTATTTCTGTAGGAGAAATATAGTGGTTGAGATTATGTGATCAAGTGGGGTTTTAAATTTGGCATCAGGCATCTACAAGGGTATTTAGTCCAAATACCCTTGGAATAAATTTGAGGAACAATATTCACAAAGGCTACGCATGTCTGAGAAAAGACCACATCTATATAAACCTGGGGAAACAAAGGAAGGTTGTTTCCTTTTCAGTGCAGATGCTTAAAAAAAACCGGCAGCGTGCTGTGCAGAGTGGTGAGGGATTCCACAGAGGCCTTGGTCGTGGCTTAGGTACCCATGAAGTAATCTGAGAATATTTAGGAGTTAGATCAAGTGATTTGGCTGGTGATGTCTGCACAGGGAGCGAGAGGGGAAGCTCAGTGAAGGGCTCCAGCTGGACAGGAAGACTTGGAGGAGAAGCTATCGGGAAGGCCAGGCCAGGCAGTGGGCGTTGGCCAAGTGGAGCAGAGGCAGCTGTGGTCTGACTGGGGCTCGTGAACGCGAGGGTGAGCTTGGACACCTGGGCGGGATCAGAGGGTGGGAAGACGTCAAAGCATATCAGAGGGCACGAGCCACCCTGCTGCTGGCTCAGCCTTGACGTCTCCCTTTCTGCATGATGGATGCTGTTCCCATGGGAACCCTTCTCTCATACCTGGCCCTGGCTAATGCAGGTCACTTGCAGTCTTTGCATGCTGGCTCTAGGGTACCACTCTCTTGAGTTCTAACAAAAGCACACTAGGAAAAAGGTTGTTAAAGGGGCAAGCTTGAGTGTTCTGAGAACAGGGACAGACCCTCGTTCTTCAGTGAGACAGGACAGTGATGGCATATCCCCTCCCTGACTGGGGCAGAGCAGTGGGCCGCTATGCAGAAGATGGGACTGCCACTCCAGGTGATTCAGGGCCACATTTGAAAGGACAGGTGACTTGATGTCTTATCCCCTCCTTCCTGTCTAGTGATATGACTCGTACATAATAGCCGATCAGTCTAGAAGGAAAAAGGCTAAAGATGGCCTGATTGAGCTTCTCTCAGGGTATCATTGTATGGTGGGGAGAACAAAGGGTCCAGAAGAAAGAGACTAAGGTGTCACTTTCACCCAGAGACTGCCTTCTTAGCAGATTGTTGGTAGGCTTCTTAACCTCCTTCTTTGTAAAATGAAAGCTATTCTTTCATTTCGGAGTGATGATATTTTTGGCTTTGGATATTTTCAACCGGTGATTTTCTGCTTCTAAGGCATTTTGCTTGGAGGTGACAGCACTGAGAGCAGAAACCAAGAGAACTGCTGCTGTTGGCTGAGTGTCATGCACAAATGCTTCATACCCAACTCAGATACCCAAGAGTTCTGAGAATTAATGACCTGTGTTAGATACCTGGGAAAGTCAACGTTTTATGGTGCTATTTTTTAAAAGGGTGAATCTCAAAAAAAGAAGCCCTATTTTGACAGTTTTATTCTATCTCCAAAGCATGCTATGATCTCCCTCTGTGGAAGACAGCATCATGCTATGTGGGTGGGAAGGAGAGAGTTCCCTCTGCTCCTGCTCAACAGGAGGAAGATAGGGGTTTGCTTTGTCCACCCTGACGCAGGCTGTTTCCCAGGAGGGCATGCTGGGAAGAACAGCGTACACTTCTGTGGATATGCTGACGGAAAGTCAGCGGTCGGAGCAATCAGGTTTCCATTTCTACTGACCATGGTGCTTGGTCAGCAGACATTGAAGAGGGTCAGCAGGGAGACATGGCGTGAGATGGGTGAAGATGTGCCTTTTTCATACCTTGAAAGCGAATTCCTGTGTAGGAGAAACATCTGTGCCTAGGAAGTTGTGGTTAGTGCAACACCCAGGTATGGTTCATGGAATTACTCTTAGTCTACTTCTGGGATACCACAACATAACTTCTCAGAAATACTGTTTTACTTCCTTGAGAAAGGTGAAGAAGTATTTTAGTTCTTTGAAACACTTAAATCTTTGAGACCTCTCCTTGTTGTATATCCTTCTTTTATGTCTAGTTTCAAAAAGTCTCCCTTTCTTGAGGGCTCAGTGTACCTTCAATGACTGAGACAGTCTAAGATCTTGCAAGAACTCAGCCACTTGAGGAAAAATCCTTAAGTACACTTTAGACTGTAGACCACACTTGTTAGATTTTTTTAGTGGTTTTCTGCTGCTTACAGAATGAGCTCCATGTTCATTAACGTATACATTTATTCAATGACATTTACGTAGTATTTGTGAGTCTCGAGGCTTGGGGTGAATCAGGGAGGGGAACAGGTGAAGACCCTGCTCTGGTGGCACTAATCGTCCAGGGAAGCAGCATCCACAAGCACAGTGAAGAACACTGCCTTGGTGGTCTGAAGGTGGGAAGAGTCACACAGGTAGGGGGCAGTAGGAGGAGCAAAGTCAGGGACGCTGGGAGGGGAACTGGGTGGGGCAGACCCTGCCAGGAAGTCTTTGAGCAAAGACTTGGAGGGCGACAGAAACACAGGGGAACAGAGGAACAGCCACAGCAAAAGCCCTGTGGCAGGAGTGGCCGGGTGCATGTGAAGGGTCACAGAGCAGAGTGAACTAGGGTGAGAGGACAGGAGATGAAGTCAAAGAGCTGGCCACAGATCCTGTGGTTACAGGGCACCTGAGTGACACAAGAGGCCATGCTGGAGGGTTCTGAGAAGGAATGTCATCGTCTGAGCCACACTGTAAAAGGCTTGCTCAGGCTGCTGTGTGGGAAGAGTCTGTAGGGGTAGGTGTGGGAGCAGAAAAAGCCTTTAGAAGGCTGGTGTAGTAACCCAGGTGAGAGGCGATGGTGGCTTGGTTCAGTGTGGTAGCAGGGAAGGCAGAGAAAAGTGGTCGGATTCTGGTTGCATCCAGAAGGTAGAGGCGACAGAATGACCAAAAGGTTGGATGAGTGTGTGACAGAGGGGCATCAAGGGAGACTTCCTTATTTTGGTCCAAGTAATGGGCTGGAACTAACTATGATAGAAACAACTGTTGGGGGAGAAGGAATGGAGGATAAGAACAGCAATTCAGTTTGGGACATGCCTAGTTGCCTTTTAGAAACCCCAAAGATATGTTAAGTAGGCATATTTTTTTTGAGGCTGGGGAGATCCACCTGGCCCTATTAATTTAGGAGTCTTCACCACCTTGATGGTATTTAGAACTCTGAAACTGGATGGTATGACCACGGGAGGGAGAATAGGCAGAGAAACAAACAGGGCCAAGGCCATGTCCGAGGCCCCCACCTGAAGGGGTCTGGAGAAGAGGAGATTGAGAAAGCATCGCTGAGGCTGGAGGAAAACCTACAGGGGTGAAGCTGTGGAGGCCACGCTGAGCAAGTGACTCTGGAAAGGGGGGTGCTCAAGCATGTCGAGTGGGGCTCATGGGTAAAATAGGGTGAAGACAGGTACTTGGCCACTGGATTTAGCAGGGCGCGTACATCACTGGGGACTCCACAGAGAGCAGCTTCCATCATGTGGTGGGATTGGAGTGGACGGATGTAGGAGAGACTTGGAGGAGTAGAAGTGGAGACAGAAAATCTCTCAGGAGTTTTGCTGAAAGTGGGAAGAAATGGGTCGTAGATATAGAGGAATTGGGGAAGATGTCCTTTTGTTCATTTTTTACTATAGGATGCTAATGAGAACAGTCCAGTAAGGCTGGAAAACTGATGTATAACCAGAGAGGGGAAGCTGTGTGCTTGAGTAGCTGAGCGGAGGGACCTCAGCAAGTGGAGGGACCCAGCACAGGTCAGAACATGGCAGTTCATCCACGGTAACAAAACCTGTTTCACATTATTAACCAAGAATTTTCCTTCTTCCTTGTGCACAGATCTCTCTCTTGCCTTCTTTATTTTTAGTGTTTCATACAATGTCTATCAGCATCCCACGGAACTAATGTTTGAGGGGCATGCATTAGGAAATATTACTTCGAGACTGCGGAGTTGGATAGGGAGTGGGGCTTTGTGAAATGTATTATTTCTAAGAGCTCCAGGATTCACGGGTGGTTGTCACAGGGTGTTTTTATGATTGGAACGACGGTGTACTTCATGAATATAAAGATTTCAAAGGTTAATGTATTGCTTCAAAGAGTAAGCCAACTTACTGAAAAGGTTTTCAGAAAACAGAAATATAACAATTCTCTGGAATTGTTTTATATGCAAAAAGCATATTCTTTGAAAGGGCACCTGTTATTTCCCTACTGCTTTTTGGCTGCTTTGATTCACAGGATGCCGGGCTGGGTCCAAGAGAGGGAGAAATGGAGCATGCTGGGTCTGGCTGAGTGATGGCTCCGCTCCCGGGAGCTGCCGCATCTGGACTTTGTCCTGTCTTGGGGGAAGTGGAGAGTGAAGGGTTGACAGAGATTCACGCTTGAAATGTCAAATTCCTTCTTTAAAAAAGTCAGCTTGATCCACAACAGGCCAGTGAGAGGCCCCTCATTTCATACATTTTGATTGTTTTCCTTGGGCTGTCCTTCAAGCAGCCTTATGAAACACCCTCTTCTGTGCAGGCAGTAGCCATTGTTCTCGGCAGAAAGCCCCACTCCTGATAACCCTCAGAGCTCAGCGCTGGAAGCCCCCTTCCCTGCCCCAGGCCCTGCCCTGTCCACTGAGGGACACCTGACCACAGGGAATTGGTGGGAAGCAGAAGAAAGATCCTCATCAAATTTTCTGATTCTCCGCTTTCGTGTGCCCCGCACAGCTCTTACAGACTTACTCTCCCTTCTGGGCAGAGGAGGACGGTATCTTGTAAAAACCTCAGGGATTGTTTAATCAATTTCTCCACGTTCTTTTCCTCAACAGCAGCGATAATCATGTTTCTCTTAAAATTGTATCACATCTTCAAAAACA